TTTCACCATAGTTCATCGTGCTGGAAGGTCCCACGGGAACGCAGATGGGCTTTCGAGGCGACCATGTACTCAATGTGGCCGAGAGGGCAAAGAGTTGGCAGCAGGTGCCGAGGGGCATGAGGAGAAAGAGACAATGAAGACTTCAAAAGAAGGAAATTCACCTACGGTGCGAATCGTGACTATGGAACCTACAGTGACACAGGAGTTATTGGGAAAGGCCCAGCAGGAGGATCAGACACTAGGTTGGATTCTGAAGGCGAAACTTGGTTCTGGTGAGAGGCCAGCATGGGCAGAAATGACGCCAGCATCGCCTGCAGTGAAGACGCACTGGTTGCTTTGGGACCAACTTGAAGTTAGAGACGGACTCCTATGTAGGAGATGGGAATCCGATGAAGGCCACGTAATCAAGTATCAAGTCATCATACCCAAGCCACACCGTGAAGAGATTGTACAGGAACTCCATGGTGGTGAGACTGGAGGTCACTTGGGACAGAGGAAAACATTGGCGAAGGTACGCCATAGGTTTTATTGGGTCGGGTTGAGCGCTGATGTAAGGTCTTTCGTGAGACAATGCAACCTGTGCGCAACAAAGAAGTCACCTGCAAGAACAAGAAGAGCACCGTTGCAGCAGTATGCTGTAGGCGCCCCGATGCAGCGAGTGGCACTCGACATACTTGGACCGCTCCCTGAGACAGAGCGAGGTAATCGATACGTGCTGGTAGTAGGAGACTACCTCAGTAAATGGGTCGAAGCATACCCGATCCCGGATCAGAAAGCAGAGACTGTGGCCCAGAAGTTTGTATCGGAATTTGTGAGCAGATTTGGCGTTCCGATAGAGTTACACTCGGACCAGGGACGGAATTTCGAATCAAATGTCTTCACCGAGATGTGTAGCATCCTAGGTATTAGGAAGACGAGAACAACCCCATATAACCCGAAATCCGACGGGATGATTGAACGTTTTAACAGGACTTTGTTGAGTATGGTCTCCCTTATGATTGATCCTCACAAACGGCAACGTGATTGGGACCAGAAGGTGATGCTAGCTACATTCGCCTACCGTTCAACGCCTCATGAGTCAACCGGTGAGACACCTAACATGCTCATGTTAGGCAGAGAATTGTACCTGCCGCTCGATTTGACTACTCGAGTTACTGCAAAGGATGGTGAAGTTAGCGAAGAAACAGACTATGCTCTTCAATTGAGAGAAGATATGCAGTTAGCCCACGAGCGGGCAAGGGAAGTACTCAAATGTAGTGCAAGGAGACAGAAGAAGTGCTACGATCAGAAAACGATAGGAGCCAAACTGAAGACAGGAGAATTCGTGTGGCTACACAACCCAAGCAAGACAAAGGGCCTATCGCCAAAGTTACAACGACGATGGGAAGGGCCCTACCTGATACTGCAAAAGCTATCAGATGTCACGTACAGAATTCAGCAAAAGCCAAGAGGTAGGAAAAAGGTCGTCCACTTTGACCGACTTAAACCTTACCAAGGTCGGCCGCTAAAACCATGGACGGCAGAGTCGCCCTGTCAACCGCCGAGACAAGATGAAGAGACCGTTGCAGAAGCTCGAGATCAAGAAGACATCCGATTTGATGTACCTGCGGAGTTAGTCGGAGAATCACAAGACATGGATGGAGAGACGCAAGATACACCTAGGGAAACTAACGATGTTACAGTAACGACACATAGAGACCAGGACAGGACACCTACGCCTGCGGGGAGAAGAAACCCACCTAGACACAGGCGAAGGCCACAACGCTATTTGTAAGGTTGTGCGGGAACAGCCGGGGGCATGAACCTATACAGGCCAGGCCGTGAGGAGAACCCATGCGTCTAACTGAATGCGTGTGTGAGCGTGCTACAAAATGCCCGAGCCATTTCTTTAACTAGTCATGAGACACTAACGAGATTCATTTCTTTTCATCATTTGTCAGGAGATAAACATGGGTCGAGACTCGCCAGCAAAGAGGACTCCACTGGACCTAGACGAGGCGAAGACAATAGACTGTCCGAAATGCCACAGTGTGTTTCTACATCGGAGGAGTCTGGACCGACATCTGACAGTGGAGCATGGGCCACGAGTGTTTTATTGGTGCCGGCAGTGTTCACACAAGAACAATCGGCGGGATAATCTGCTGAATCATTATAAAGATTGTCATCCGTCCTGCCTGGCTGAGGTAAATGGGATCAAGGCTGAGTCCTATGAGGACAGGGAGCGTGAGGCGCGTACCAGGAGCGAGGCAGAAAGGCATCGCCTAGGAGGCAAAAAGTCACCTAAAGGTAAACAGGGTGAACCAGGTTCCCAACCAGAGGTCAAGTCGCGTTCTGGACGGAGCGAGAGTGGACCTACTGCCGCTACAAAGAAGCGTAGCCGGGACAAGAAAGATGAGGAAGAAGTGACTAGGAAGCGTCCCAAAGAGAAGAAGGCGCCATCGACAGTTTCACGTGCACCTGAGGAGGAGGAGGTACGAAGCAGTACCAGTGTTCGCGATGAGCCTGATGGGCCAAGGCCGAGCTCTACTCTTCAGACGCCGTCGGCTTTAAACGTAGCACCAGAGATGGGGCGAAAGGAGAAGCGAAGGGGCCGGAAGTAGTTGAAGTACCAGATGTTGCTGTGGAGTTGGAAATAGCAGCAATCTTAGGTGACAGCGGGAGTGGAGAGCTCCCAGAGATCACACTGTCGCCTACCCCTCCGCTGATGATGGATTTAGAGGAACCCCACAGCCATGAGGAGCCAGTCATGCCGCCGAGAGGGAAGCCACGAGCGATGATAGAGTTGATGAGGGATGAGGCCAAACGACGCGATGGTCAGGAAACCACCGCTAAGGGGGGAGAGAACATTCCAGTCATGTCAACACCACTGCACCTAGACAGGCTGCTACCGGGACAGGCAGTCCGGATCAAGGAGGTTAAGGAAACCTACCTGTACAGAGATGGAGACAAGACACTCCAAGGCTCGACGACACGTGAGTATGATGTCGTTTACTTGAGACACCTCAAGGCAAAGAGGTCGACAGAGCAACAAACCTCACCAAGTCCAACATCACAGGGAGAAGGTCGCCTATGCAGGTTGATGAAGACCGATGGTGATTCAGTCGGCACACCTTATTCGGATGAGGATCTCATCAGTGCCATGATGGGTAGAGTCAGCCGCGTGATGGAGACTACTACACGACAGGTATACCATGAAGGCAACAAAGTGACCAAGGACAAACTACAGCGCACCTACGACATGGATTTCCTGGCTGGAGTTGCACAGGATCCTTAGAAGCTATAAGGATAACGTCTACCTAAAGAGGCTTTGTTGAACTGTTTGTTGAACTGTTGAGGATCTTTTTTGGTAACATTTGTTAAGCACTTGTTCAAGTTTGTAATAGAAGAGGCATTTTGAACTGTTTTATATAAAGTTTCGTTTTGATAAAGTTTTGTTTTCTTGTAAACTAAAGGAGAGTTTTGTATAAGGACCTAGGTAGGTCAAACCATTATTTTGTATAAGGCCGAGGTAGGTCAAACCGTTATTTTGTATAAGGACCTAAGTAGGTCAGCAAATTATTTTGTACAAGGATTCCAGATGAGACATTTTTTGACTGTTATTAAGTTAAGCTTTATTTTAAGTTAGCCAAAGGTGGCAGAGCACCTTGTTAGGAGTTATAGTTTTTATAACTGTTCCTTATTGTTATCAGTTTTTAAGGTCAAGGGACTGACCAAACCTGGGGCGCGGCTGTGTAGCGGAACAGTTAATATTGGCGCGCTATGTTCACCGTAGTTTAGTTGGTTGGTACGCGGACTTCTGTCCGTTGTACAGCGCGCGAGTAGCGTGGCTGGTTGGTACCCAGCGCGGGTATATAAGCGCGTGTCGCGCGCGCACTCACTCTCTTCCATTTCTCTTCCATTTCACTCGTCCATGGATTGCACTCTCCCATTGCACTGCTCACGTTGTGTGCTTTAGCTGTTAATTGTGGCGCGAAGCGTAGCACAGTTCCCGCTCAGAGACTTGGAGTTGCTGGAGCGTGTGTAGTACAGCTGTGGTCAGTCTCTCACTCAGGAAGAGCACTAGTTTAGTTCCGGTGAGTGTAGGGATTAGGAAATCTGGTTGGTACGGGAAGCATTCCAGTTCTTGACGATTATTGGAAAGGGGCCAATTCTTACAATTGAGCAGGACACACCTAAGTAGGACACACCTAAGTAGGACGCACCTAAGTAGGACGCATCTTATTGGGTCTCCAAGTAGTTACAATAAAGCAGTGAAGCCCTAAATACCCGAGTGTCTGATCTATTCATTGGACGTTAACCCTTCCCCGAGTGTGTTCGTGAGGTTTGCGTGAGAGCGCGAGTGAGTGTGTTCCCTGAGCGCCTGGCGGTAGACTGCCCAAAAACGGACCTGTTCCCCTGGCCTTCCCCACAGCCGCTCGTCGGGTCGGCAGAGAGCAATATCCAAGGCATCGTCGACACAAGACCGCCACAATATGCAAAAATCTCATTTTTGACCTTATGCCCAGAAAAGTCTGATTTTGACAGAACAGGTCACATGTTTGAAAAGATTGATTCTTCAAAAACACAACTTTCAACATTTTAAAGATGGCGTCCCACGTTAAACGAATCGACTGCAGCCCTAATTATAATGTGCCATATTTTGACACATTTAAATAAGACAAATCCAGGGGTTGAGATTGCGCAAGGCATGATGGGAAACAACATGGCGCAGCAAGATCTCGTACCCATGGGAACGAAGTTGCCCTGACGTCTATAAATTGCACCGTTTCATCTGAAGTAGGGTCAGTGAACCAGACTACAAGAACTGCAATTTTCTCTTGGTTTTTCCAGCATCTATGAACACCAAACTTTAGACTGGTCAGTGTAACAATTAATATTTGCTATGAAATACTAAACCCCAAATCCATCCATTTCTGAAATTACAGCAAAAGCAAATTTTGTATTTTATTACCTCAAACGTTACTTTTACTAGAAAATTCATGTTGTGTTTGTTAACGCAGACAAGAGGAACAACGCAGAAAGAAAGGCCGAGCGTTCGTTCAGCCAAAGATTGAATTAGGAGCCGTCTTCAACACTGTCTGCAAAAAATGTGGAACTAAAGGTAGCTTTAATTGCTTTCTTGTATTGAAACACTATTTGAAAAGTGCTGTAATTTAAGGCTATGGGCTCCGTGCGCCAACAAAAGAGGGCGCCCTTTTACCTAGCAACGACGTCCCATGGGCCGGACCATTGATTTCCATACATTTCGCTGGTTGACGCGCGCACACCGTCCTTGTGTGTGACGCACGTACACCAGGGGATTTGTACTGTGTACACACAGTGGCCGCGCTCCGCGGCGAAATATTGCAGTCAGGCAAGATGGCGTCGTTCGGTCATCCCCAACTGTACTTTCTTTGCCGGTGAGGGGGTACTTGTGAACGGAGAGGATACATGGCTGTTTCCCAGAGGACAAACCTGCATTCTCTCTACGTATCTCACTGACTTACCAACTGTATTTGTGAGTTAGAAATGCATAAGTTTCACATTGGTCCAATAAGTTAACTTTGCTTGCCTCAAAGTGCCAGCTGACAGTCTTCTTTTGACCAACCCACTGACTGACTGACTGTCACTTAAAGGGAAAATACAACATTTGCAAACATCAAAAAATAAAACTACCAAATCATTTTGAAATACCTTGCTGGACTGTTAGTGAATGACAGTGTAAAGCATCCTGTAAAATCATGGCACCTGGTATACTGTCATTTTCAAGAAAAGTGGTATTTTTGTATCAATTTCCAACGCTGATCGGCCGATCAGCGTTGGAAAAAACTGGCTTTTTTTCAAATACTGGCCCTAGTTGACCTTTGCACTTGTTTGCAATCGATTACACACCTATGAACTGGTACAAGCCAGCTAGACTGGTTCCCTGACCTTACAATTCCCCAATATATGTAAACTGCTCTGTTTCTTCTTAAATGGAGTCAGGGAACCAGACTACAGGAAAATGATTGTTTTTCTTGGTTTTTATAGCATTTTCGAACCCAAAACCTCAAAAAAGTCAGTGTAACTATATTTGCTATAATTTTCCAACCCCCCAATTCCATCCATTTCTGAAAATTACAGCAAAAGCAAATGATGTATATTCCCTTTAAGAATTCGATATGCATATTAAGTCTCAAGTTGGTCCAATAATTTATCTTTGCTGGTCTTGTGAATAAGACTTGCGTGAGTCTCTCATTGGCCCGTAATGAAGTTAGCAGTTTTATGTAAGAGTTCTTGGGCAGTTGTTCAGAATCGTGCAACTAATACTTTAGGCTACTTTATTACACAATTACTACTTTATTCTAACATGTGTTTACAGGACATTTAGCCAAAGACTGTTTCCGGACACCCGGAGGTAAAACCTACGATCTGTTGCCTGATGATGATGCGATACCTCCACCGGATGTTAATGAAATACCCACGTCATCGCCGCAGAAAAAGAAAAAGAAGAAAAAGGTATGATGCATGCAGCTTTATTCATGACAAAAATATGAAAACAAGGCTACGCAAGTATTGACTGCTGGCTGTGAGTGGTGTTGTAAAACTAGCCTCCTGAGATGTTCCATCAAGCAGTGTTCTCCAACCTGTAAAAATAACCTGGTGCCCTGCCAAGCTTTCTGAGGCACCCGCCAAGCTTCAAAAGCTGCCGCCATGCTTAAACAGTTGCCCGCCATGCTTACAAAAAAAAGGAAAAAATAATAAAAAAGACAAACAAGTGGGACTACCCCCTCCAGGGTATATTTTGGCCAGAAACTCTGCCAAAAGCATTAACATGGAGCATTTGTCAAACTGACAAGCCTGCCTATTGTAGCAATCAATCAGGTCAAAAGTCTCCAGGCCAAACTGCCTCAAAGTCCATGGTCACTGATGTGTTAAAAAAGATGATGCTGAGCCAATATTGTACTTAATTGTTAGTGTTACTGTGTTAGAAATGGCCTAAAAGCTGTTATCCATACATAAATTGCATGTTCATCTGCAAATAACGCCCCCAAGCATAAAGTAATGGATGACTGCAAATAGCGCCCCTAACGTGCATAGCCCCCCCCCCCCCCCCCCTGCTTTTGGACGGCGCACTGACCTTTAATTTTCAAAGTTGGAGAACACTGATCAAGTGTTCTATTTTCTCGAGACGAACCTGAAAACAGAACAATCCATGGATCACCAGGGGAAGCTAGTTTTATAACACCTCAAGACAAAATGTTCAAAGAGCAAATCATTCTGACAAAGTATCTCCAGAAGATTATATATTCTTGAATCATGGACAAACGTAGTTTGAGTATCACCCGTTGTCCATTGGAGCCGTCTTCGGAACCAAAGTCTGATGCAAATTTTATGCGACCCTGCATGCCAGCCAATGAGAGTCCATCAGAAATGTGGACTAAGCTGTTTATTGGTCAATTTGGCTGACATGTTTTTGTAATACAACAACATACGGAAGACCCGATAGGAGGCGCCTGCTGAAAGGTCAGAATCTCAAGGTCAAGACACAGTCTTATTTTGCATAATTAATCGCCGAATCTCCTCCCATATCATAAACTCTTGCTGTGCAAGAGGATGTTCCATAGACTAATCTTATAATTGACACCAGACCAAAACGTTGTAACTCTCTTCAGGGTAAAAAGAAGAAATCTAAAAAGCACCGACGCCGCTCCGTAAGTTCCGATTCCTCAGAATGTGAGAGTGATTCTTCCAGCGACAAACACCCTGACAAACGCCATCATAAACACCGTCGTACATCAAAGGAAGGCAAAGAGAAGCTACAGAAGCATCAACGTCGTCGATCACCACATTCTGATTCTTCAGACAGCGGATCGGGTAGTGACAGACACCCTGACAAACACTCCCATAAACACCGTCGTACATCAGAGGAAGGCAAAGAGAAACTACAGAGGAAGCGCCGTCATAGATCACCACATTCTGATTCCGATAGTGACAAATACCCCCATAAACCCCCTCATAAACACGGCGCTACGTCAAAGGAAGGCAAAGCAAAGTTAGAGAGGTATCCTAGTCCTGATGCAACAGACAGTGGATCAGCTAGTGACAGACACGCTGAGAAACACCCCCATAAACACCGTCATACAGCAAAGGCGGGCAGAGAAAAGCATCATCACCGGTCGCCTAGTCCCAATAACGCATCCAGTGACAGATACCCTCACGAACACCATCATACATCAAAGGAAGGCAGAGAAAAGCAACATCACAGGTCCTCTAGTCCCCATAACACATCCAGTGACAGACACCCTCACGAACACCATCATACATCAAAGGAAGGCAGAGAAAAGCATCATCACAGGTCCTCTAGTCCCCATAACGCATCCAGTGACAGACACCCTCACGAACACCATCAGACATCTAAGGAAGGCAGAGAAAAGCAACATCACAGGTCCTCTAGTCCCCATAACGCTTCCAGTGACAGACATCCTCACGAACACCATCAGACATCAAAGGAAGGCAGAGAAAAGCATCATCAGAGGTCCTCTAGTCCCCATAACGCATCTAGTCACAAACACCATCACACTTCCACAGATAAACATGAAAGCCTGGCTGAGAGACCGAAGAGGAGAAGACACACAAACCCTCACTCAGATGGCAGTACATCTAGTGACGAAGACCTCCATAGACATGGACCCAAACCCCGCCAGGCATCGAGTGACAGACACCCACCATCACAGAGTAAGACAGAACATGAGCGGAGAAAGGAACACGACGGTCACGCTTCTAGACAGCGTGCCGAACCCAGACACGAATCAATTCATGAAAAAGGTCATAATCATAGGAATGAAAGTTCAAAATATAAACACAGATAGCTATTCGTAAGATGGAATTTTGCATCGGGTGATGTAAATCAAATTAGGTTTTGCCTTTCGCCGATGTATAAACACTGTATACTCAGTGTGTTACCTCCCGAGTGAAAGTTGGAAAGAATCACTCGGGTGGGACTCGAACCCACGACCTCCTGCTTTCTAGTGCAGATGTCTTACCACTCAAAACCGAGCTAACGGGATCAGTTGGCTGGTTCAAATCTGATGTATGTACATAGCAGCGGGTACCGCATTAACTATTCGTAAGATGGAATTTTGCATCGGGGTGATGTAAATCAAATTAGGTTTTTCCCTTCATGGACATATAAACACTGTATACTCAGAGTGTTACCTCCCGAGTGAAAGTTGGAAAAAATCTATTATAAGATGGAATTTTTGCGTCGGGGTGATAAATCAAATTATAGGTTTTGCCCTTCACCGACGTTTAAACACTGTATACTCAGTGTGTTCCGCCCGAGTGAAAGTTGGAAAAAAATCACTCGGGTGGGACTCGAACCCACGACCTCCTGCTTTCTAGTGCAGATGTTGTACCACTCGACCACCGAGCTAACGGGATCAGTTGGCTGGTTCAAATCTTATAATAGTTTATGCGGTACCCGCTGCTATGTACATCAGATTCGAACCAGCCAACCGATCCCGTTAGCTCGGTAGTCGAGTGGTAAGACATCTGCACTAGAAAGCAGGAGGTTATGGGTTTGAGTCCCACCCGAGTGATTTTTTCCAACTTTCACTCGGGCGGTAACACACTGAGTATACAGTGTTTAAACGTCAGTGAAGGGCAAAACCTATAATTTGGAAAAAATCACTCGGGTGGGACTCGAACCCACGACCTGCTTTCTAGTGCAGATGTCTTACCACTCGACCACCGAGCTAACTTTCACTCAGGAGGTAACACACTGAGTATTGTGTTTATACGACAGTGAAGGGGAAAACCTAATTTGATTCACGGATAGCTGGTTATATCAGAAACTTTTAGATTATAGTGTTTTATCCTTTTTTTGGAAGTCTTGTGACCAGGGGCAGTAAAATTGGGTATCAGTAGAAGGGGTGGGGTGTATTGCAGTGTGATTGCAGTGTATGTAGCTGCCAAGATCAGTACTCATTCAACCCAGCCCAGCCACCTAAAACGATTGCGTAAGTTACGCCATAATTTGTTGCGCAAGTCGCGGACTTACGCACTATAAAACTTTAATGAAATTTTCAAAACTGAAATGTCGCGCAACGTGAAATGTTGCGCAACTTGAACAATAAATTGTGGCGCAGGTGGACTTATGTCATTGCGTAAAGTTTCATGAAATCGGCTGCAGGATCAGTAGGTATTAAACAGACCCCATCAAAGGTTCCAAAGAGAATTAGGCAGAACGTGCAACACACACATATTGTTAATTTGTTTTTAAACATTTTATTACAACAAACATTTTATTCTAATTTAAAAATAATTATATCCACAATGATTGATATCACCTGATTAACACACAGAGCATGGACAAAGACTTTCAGATAATTTTTTTGTTATAATTAATAATCCAAATCATGGACTTCTATTATCCTCAAAGGAAAATTGGTTCAAATAACAGCAACCCAAAACTGAAATCCCGGGAGTTGGCTGAAGGGTTTTATAGCTTCGCGGTGTAATCTGCAACTTTTACGAGTGTCATCTGTCGCTCGTTAAAATGCATAGGAACGTGAATTCTGTTCTGGTTTTCCATGTAGTCTGGTTTTCATTTTGAAAAATGGCATTCAAACTCTTTCTTTTTTTCATTGCCTGAGAAGTTACTAAGTAATTTGTGAAGTTGGTTACAGGTACCCGATCCTATGGAGCTCTGGAAATGCCATCCGACTTGTTCAGATCCTGACTTAATTTATCCTAGGATGACGACAAATTACATACAAGATGACGACATCCTCGGATGATTTATCAAAGGATGACGATATCCGGAAAGTAGAATGTTGCCTTCTTGAGATAATTTATTATGGGAGGACGACATCCTGAAAGTAGCAATTCGACATCCTGAGAAACATTCAAATGCTGTTTTGTGGAATTATGAGAAAGCAATCCTACTTTCAGGATGTCGTCATCCCATGATGAAGTTTCTCCGAGGTTGTCGTTATCCCTAGATATCTGAGGATGTCGACATGCTATTTCACGATGTCATCATCCCGTGATAAAACATCTCAGGATGTTGACATCTTACGTGTAAGATGTCGTCATCCCGTGAAATTATCTCGGCATCTCAACATCTTGGATGGCACCTCCAGAGCTCCGTACCATCCCATAATCTGGAACCGGTTCCTAATATCAGCGGTCGGGTACTCGGTTCTGATGCACACTCCTAACATTTTTTTCATAGTGCATGTGAGAGAGTTAGACTTAGCTACTGTGGTTACCTGACGGTCACCTGACCAAAAGTAGTCATCTAATTGGTAAACGCTGACTGACTAGTGTTTGACGACATCAAATTTTACAACTTGATTTTGCGAAATCAGGTGATAGTTGGCAGTAAAAAAGAGCGACTGATGAACTGGGAGAAAAATTCAAACTAAAGGAGAACAAAATAATTCAAACCTCACTGATTTCCACGGAAGACTTGTAATGCACAAATACAATGACACAAACAAGTTTAGGCCAAGTAAAAAAAATAAGTACTTTCTCGTCCGGCCTTTTTGATAAAATGAAGGAGGTGGGCGTTTCCCCCCCCCCCCCCCCTTCCCAAATATGGTGGAATTTCCAAGATAGCAGATAGATTCTTTAATTTCTTGACTATTTTGCTGATATAAAATTGTGTCCAAAGGAGCAATAACCCTTTCTACAAAGCTACAATTTTGTTGGCAACACTATAATTGACAGAGTATGTACAAAATATATTGCAAATGTATGAATTAAAAGAAGCCGCCGGCCGGGCATGAGAAACTGGTTTATTTTTGTTTACTTGGCCTTATATCGAGGCCAATTTTAGATTTGCTTAACACAGAAAAAAAAAAAATATTTGTCAAGTTAAAACAAGTTACCTGTCAAAATGTGACATCGTGTTTATTGCTTGAAACAAAGTCATTAAGGCCTATCTCAATTCATATTCCGGACAAGTTGCAGTCATTGTATCGGGAATAAGTTGCAGGATTCTGAACAACTTCCCCGCAATCTTCCCGCAATGAAGTGATCAGTATTGGTGAGTCAAGCAGTTGCTGATGAAAATTGTCCCCGGAACATGTCTTGGACAAATGCAGAGCTTCTTCCCGACAAAGTGAATGATTCTACCTGCAACTTGTCCGCAACTCGTTCCGGATATGAATTGAGAATGGGCCTTACTAAGTTTTGCTAAATATTTCACTTTCTGGTTAGGAGCCTCATGAAACTGGTTTTGGAAACTTTTTATAAAAATAATTTATTCTGTATTACTGGATGTGTTACCAGCCAAACATGTATTCTAATGTTTTGCTGACGACGTTGGAAGACTTTTTAGGAGTTGAGCCGCCCTGGATAACCTGAAGTAAGAAAAGGAAAGAAACTTAAATAATATGTCCAAGGTGTATTCCCAAAAGGTATTCCAAAATAATGGGATGCTTTGTTAAAATCAGGGGTGTAATTCAGTCGTCAATCTCAACTGAACTTGAAAGGTGGTATGTAGAGAGAAGGCCGACGCCAAAAAAAATACTTTCCAATATGGATATTTACGAGGTCTCTGGAAGGCTCCTGTTTCAAACATTGACCTTTTCATGTTTTTATTTCCCATTTTCAGAACAATTTGGATTAACATGACTCTGAAAAGTAAACCAAACCGGATGTAATGTTTGTACTGTTCCTATCTCTTACCTCATGATTACTGCTCGCCGCTTTGTAAGCGGCCGTTAGTGGCCTGATTGACGACGTCGGTCGTTGTGACGCCTCGACCTCTTCAGCCTGAGGGGTCATGGGATACCGGGAGGGCGTGTTGGATTGTAGCGTGCTGGCGTTGCACTGATCCCCACCTTCCATTACACTCTACGGGAAGTTTGAGATGACAGCCTTCAATCAAGACTAATTTTGTACACTCTACCGAAAGGTTAAGGTGACAGCCTTGAATCAAAACTAACTTTGTGCACTCTACAGAAAGTTGGAGATGACAGCCTTGAATCAATACTAACTTTGTACACTCCACAGTTTGAGATAAGAGTCTTGAATGAAGAATAGTTTTGTACACTCTACGTGGAAAGTTTGAGATGAAAGCCTTGAATCAAGACAAACATTGTACACTCTTAAAATTGTAGGAGATAATAGCCTTGATTCAAGACTATGTACACTCTACAGAAAGTTTGAGATGAGAGCCTTGAATCAAAACTAACTTTGTACACTACAGAAAGTTTGAGATGACAGCCTTCAATCAAGACTAACTTTGTAAACTCTACAGAAAGTTGAAGATGAGAACCTTAAATCAAGACTAAATTTGTACACTCTACCAAAAGGTTGAACTGAAGAGCCTTGAATCAAGACTAAGTTTGTGACTGAATTAAGGCGAGCCTTGAGTAAAGACTAAGTGCACACTTGCAATTTTTAAAACCATATTCAATGATTGTTTTCTTTCGAACAAAACCACCTCTGGTGGATTAATTTCACCGAGTATTCTGATACCAGTCCTATCTTCACTTTCAATCAGTAGGTACTTTTCCGGGTAATTGCAACTTAGGAAGTGATCCTACATGACTTTAATTATAAAATGGCAAACTTGTTGGATACAATTTTTTATAATGAGCCATTTTGTTGGTACCACTTCAACCTACCTTGTCAATGCACGGCATGACGCCTACCATGATGTTCCCCCCGAACACTTTGCCGTTTTTACTGAGTGCTTTCTTCGCTTGCAGCTTGGAGCTGTACTGCATGTGAAGCCAGTTGCCGCTGCTTGCGGCCTGACAACGGGAAACAAGACAAAGCAACAGCATCCATACAGTGTTAGTCAAGTCTAAATCTGAGAGAGAGAGGGGGAAATTGGTGGTAAGTGTCTTGCCCAAGGACACAAGCAACAACATGGTGGTGCACCACATAACTCTCGAGGACAAGGCATTGTGTTTCCTTTGTCCCTGTAATACAGGGTGGATAAAAAAACCGAAACTGAGATATATTGCTAATTGGAACAGAAGTAGGGCACATGTGAATCAAAGGGAGATATCCTCTGTTAGGGATGAATCTCCTCTTTAAAAGGACAACCTGATCATGTCCTTACATTCATGGTTGACTGAGCAGTGACCAGTTTTATGAAAGGGTCTATTTAGAGAATTGCGCCACTTTTCATGGTGAAATCTCTTTTTTTCCTCACCTGCCTTGATTGGCAACCATAGCCTTTCACTTGCTACACTGTGCAGGCTTGTCATTTTGGCAAGTGTTGCTGTGTTCAGCAGGGTTTCTAGCCAAAATACCACAGGGCTAGGGAGGGCGAACCTTAACCCTTACCCTACTAGACCCTCCAACGCATGCCAATATGTGCCTCAAGAAAATCTCCTATGTTTTTTGCATGGCCCTCCAATATCTGCCATGTCATTTCAAGGGTAACTGGACAGGCACTCCAATACATGCCACAGAGAACAATGAGAGTCCTCTGATAACAATCAAGTGCCCCCAGCTGGTCAGTATCAGGCACCCTCCAGGGCCTCCAACTCCTGCCAATTGGAGCCTTCACTGCTACATCAAAGTATCCTCCAATAAACTGCAGCTGGAGGGCATTGGCATAACCAACTAACATGCAGTAAACTACCCTCAGAGAGTAAGGGTTAATGTTGCAATTTCAGCACCAACGCCTACACAGTGTAACCACGACAGTACAATTACACATGACCTCATGGGACCAGTGTGGAGAGTGTCGCCTAGTGGTTAGGGTTCGTCATTCATGATCAGAGGGTCCGGGGTTCGAATCCAGCTGCTGGTCAAATGTTGTGTCCTTGGCCAAGCCACTTCATCCCCACTTGCCTCTCTCCACCCAGGAGTATAAATGGGTACTGGCATTAGCTGGGGAGTAACCTGCAATGGACTGGCATCCCATCCAAGGAAATAGAAATATTCTCAGTCGTTTCATACTGAAACCGGAAATGCCGGCCTGATGGGCCACATTGGCCCGTGACAGACTACTTACTTTGGGAAAAGTAGAGAGAAACAACTCACGATATAGTTTCTTGCCCAAGGGCACGAGCAACACAACCCAACAGTCTGGACTCGGACCCGCAACCTCCATATTTCCCCACAATATCTTGGGTTGAACATCAGAACATAAACCCACCAATTCAAAGATTATAAAAAGCTTTGAAATAATATCTTTATGTTTGCACTTACCACATGCCTAACGATGCTGCCGTACTGAGAAAATTGCTGGAGAACATAAGATGTTGCAGCTGGTGGGAATCTATGCAAAAAAATCAAATATAAAATTACTGAATTACTTTGAATATACGTAAACTAATCCAGCTTAACAACAGACCGATCCATTAACCCTAACAGAACTCAACCCATCAAACCCTAACAGCATGTCTTGTTGGAATCTGTCAGGATGGGTACAGTACCCCTGAACTGACAGTCTTTTACATTGGGTTGGCACACCTCCAGAAACTAAGTCAGAAATATGTGTGTGCAGTTTCCCATATGGTGTTGGAATTTGCCAGGATGGGTATGGTTCCTAGTAAATCATGCTAGGGAGTTAGGGTTAAAGGTAGCGTACATCATTTGTCATTTGTGAACTGTTTTTGTGCTCAAATTCTAAAGAAGGGTGTTGAACAACTAACCTGATGAAGTTTCAGCTCAGTGAATGCTGTATATCCCGAGAAAACAATATTCTAGGATCTTGATTTCAATTCAATTGTTGCCGAGTCTTGTTTTGAATTGTGCCCGAAATCACGGTCTCATTCAGTCGATTGCCGCTACGCGATGTCACGCACTGAACTGACAAATAACAGCAACCACTGATAATTGATTGATCAGCACCCTCTGTTTTGACTGAACATGTACCCCTTCAAAAACCTTCCAAGATGATGCCCGTCTTCATTGCATCTGATGAAGCAGTTGTAGCTACGAAAACTTATACAAACTTTCATTGTAGTTAGTCATTTGAAGTGCTACCTTACTTTCCCATTCGAAATACCAGAAATAGTTTCGACCGAACTCACCCGAAGATGGTGATCCACGTTTCATCCAACTGGACATCGGGAGTTATTGCTTCTCTGCAAAATGAACAAAGTATTCAGTTGATAGATCGTGGAACAAAAGCATAGATTCTATCACGAAGGCCCCCTTCAATGGCGCAAGCATTGTGCTAGCTATGTTCCGATAATCAGTCCTGATGATTTGAAAATCACAGGCATGTGGAAATAGGCACATCTGGATTTTTTTCCGGCGTGTGGTTTTTCTAGTTGTGTAATTTTCTAGGTGTGTGATTCTGTGGTCTAGGGAAATTCAGGCGTGCAATTATGCACACTTCTCGGGAAGCTTTTAGGCATGCGATGGCGTGGGGGTGGGATCGCATGCCTCAAATCAGCAGGACTGGATAATCCACTACGGGGCAGTTGCTTTGTACGTGTTCTAAATAACTCCCGATGACAGACACACAAAGGGAGAACAACAGATCCTTTCAGTCCTCGGGAGTTGTGTCTTTTGTTGGAAACGGTCCACTGTAGTAGGTTTGTGTGCTTAGTCCATGGGAGAGTTTTATATTACAGGGACAAAGGGAAACACAAAGCATTGTCCTCGAGAGTAAAGTAAAACACGGCTGTCTGTACAATAGCATGCATAATGGTTTCGCCTGTGAAGGGGTGAGTGTACAGTGAATACGTGCCCGGTTCCGTCTATATACAAACTGTGCTGGGATAAAACTTTGGAGTGACTCACCCCTGAGTGTAGAATGGATCGATCTGAGCAGGTGATGACGGTGTCTGCCTCGCACCAAATTGTGACTGAGGGGTCTGGGCAGGTGAGAACATTCGACTATTGGCGGGGGTGCCTACAAGTAAAGACACAAATAAAGGGACGTATTTATTTAAGTATGTAATCAAACAGAACATAGACAAATTCTTGGCAAACCTTCCAGGGTGTTTCAAAAAACAAATCCAACAACATCTCTGCTCAACGCAACATGCAAAACTTGTCAAAATGACAAACCTGCCTAGCGTAGCAAGATCCATTTGGCCAAAACTCTCAAGGTAAACTCCATCAGAGTCCGTGGTCACCAACTCACTGCAGCAGGATACAACTGTGGCATTGTTCAATTGGACTAGCTCTCATTGTCCAGAATTGGCCGTTTCATTCACTGGTGTTGATAGCTCAGTGCAGCAAGGTCCCACAGACTTTTACACCTGATGCGCTGTGTTGCATCTGGCCAGCTGGCAGAATTAGCGCTAAATACCAAAGTCTCAAAGCACTACACAATTATTACCCTTGTTCATCAGGCCATGAGACCAGTTTTCTGCAGCAGCTATCTATCATCAGAGATGAAACTGGCATATGGCAAAAAAATCGGAAAATACGTCGAACAAAAATATGTGTCCGAAATCTGGGCCGTGCTGCAGATCTGTTACACACATGTACATGCATGTACAATACACTTCATGCCCAATTTCCGGACACCAACTCCTGCTTAATTATTTTCGATTCAAACAAAATTTAATGGTTTATTTGCTATGCGCTAGCAGACGGTGTGGTACATGTACGTACGCTAGTACCATTGCATACATCTTTGTACATATGCAAGCACGTGCGACACAGTGATTTTTCCATGTCACCTGTCAATGTTTAACCTTTTGTCCAGCCGGAATAGGCTCCGATCAGTGTTATGGCCTGTGTTTCTACCGTTGAAACACTTCAATAATGACTGGTGAAAGAGATTAAAACTACGTTTGCGATGATTTTAACGTGCCATTTCCATCAATTTTTCATTGACTTTTCTTCGAAATAGTAAATGAAATAAAATGACATTTTGTGAAAAAAATTGTTACAAAATCAAATTTTGTGGGACAAATTGTAAGAAAATCACAAATTTCGTTGGAAAATTCCAAAATTCGGATTTCCGATTAAAATCGGAAAAGTTTCATCTCTGCAAGATCAGCGTTATCTGGTCTCTACCCTCACAGGTACTCATTTATACTACAGGATAGAAAGAGGCAATTGTAGTAAAGTGTCTTTGCCCAAGAACACAAGCACTGTGTTTCCATACAGGGTTCGAACTCGAAAATATATGAAAACTAAATGTATTTATACAAAGAAATACAATCTTATGGTAAGAGTATAATAAAAATGACTTTGTACAAACCTGCAGCATATGAAGAGGTTGGTAATGGAGTTTTAGACATCGACAAATCCAGCTGGAAAACCAAAAATATTTAAGAAAGTTTAAAACTACAACATTTGCAAACATCGAAAAGCAAATCTACCAAATCAATATAAAATACCTTACTGGAGTGAATGAGTCTAAAGCATCCTTTTAAATCATGGCACCTGGTGTGCTGACATCTTCAAGAAAACTGGTATTTCTGTATCAAGTTCCAACGCTGGTCGGCCAACCAGCGTTGGAAAAAAAAATGGCTTTTTTTGGTTCTCAAAATACTGCCCCCAATTTACCATATTTAGGTACATGTATGCTTAACACGCCACAATGCTTGATTACGTATAAGATTAAGAGCCTTGGAAAAACTCCCTCGTAAATTACCCTAATGACCACGTCTCCACACAAGATATGCAAGTTTTTTCACCTCCACTCACTGGACTGTTAATGACATTACTTCTTTTGACGCAATGGTTTCAGTCGAAGAATACACTCGCAAGTGTGGATTCTTAATTTACAAATTCACTCGGCGCTTCGCGAGTTAAATTACAAATCCACACTTGCGAGTGTATTCTCCTTAACATAAATGTGCGCTTGGCGGGTTTTAAACATTATGTTTAAGACCGATGCTGATAATGACCCAAGCCAAAAACGTTTCAGTCCAAAAGTAAAAACAAGTCAAAAATTACAAATTTCTAATGATTTTGTTCAACAAATTTACTTCATGCTTTTTGAAATGCCCCTCTAGCTATGCTATGGTATTGCCCTCTCGCGAGAAGTAGTACACAACTCCTAATTATCGTGGCGCAGAATGCAGCAGTGTCAGTGTAGTGTGAATTTAGGACTATGAAATACTGACTCACTGGTAGTAATGTGCAGATCTACGTGAGGATTGTGAACGTTCAACCAATAAAACGGTACCGGCACCGGATTTCATCCTCGGAGTCCAAATTTCATGGGGAAAGTGTTTAAGACCAGCCAGCCGGTCTTTATCAACCGTTTAAACCGGCCACGTGATGGGCTCTTGACCAACAGGAATGGGTAAACTGTCTTAGGTATTTACAAAAATGTATGAATATTCTATTAAGTCTGAGTTGGAGTAATCAAATATTAATTTATTCAAAAATGTAGAGTCCTATTCCTTGGTCATTCAATACCTGTCTCTTCTCCGGTGTTTCCCCGTACACTCCTCCAACAGCCGGACTTCCTTTCAGAGCGTCCACATTATCAAAGAGACCGGCTACTGGCGGGGCACCAGTTTTGTCTTTCGGTGTCCTAGTGACTGCCGGCCTGCTAAGAAAACACATACATGTACAGTAATGCAATTAATTTTGAAGTTTTCTTTATTTATCCGCTAGAAGCTGCTGCTTGATTTCTATCAACTCCATAGCAACTTTGCGAATATCCTGAATTCAGAGACTAGTTTCTTGTGTTCTGGTGCAAGTCAGATGATGTACATGTGGTCCAATGTGGTGCGGTGGTCCAATGTGGGGTGCTATTACGGTGTTTGACTCGTGTGCCGTGGTATGTGGGTTCGAATCCTGACCGTTGGAACATGGTGCTTGTGCTCTTGAGCAAGGCACTTTATAATTATTGCTTCATTTTTCGAATGGGACCTAAAGCCGTAGGTCCTGTGTGTTGTGTAATGCACGTTAAAGAACCCAGTAACACTTATCGCTAAGAGAAGGGGGTTTGCCCCGGTGTTTCTGGCAGTGGCTGCAATATGCGCCGCAGCACCTTGTAAACCCTTATAAGGTGCTACATAATGGGTCTCATATTTCTCATAAACTTTATTTACCTTTCTTTAACCCCATGCGCACGGGAAGCGGTCATGGCCGCGGCCGCTAATCCTCATTGGAATGCAGTTGCCAGCTGTGGTATGCCTTGGCACACGACTAGTGGGTAGTTCCACAGCTGCTGCTTTTGTGCAGTCCCGCTACCACACAAAGGCTGTGCAGTCATGCGGGCCACTTGCTCTATGTGTGGAGGAATGTCCCCATTACACCCCGTCCTTAAGGGGTTAATAATAGACATATTCTTCAGCGCCTTGAGTACCTAATTGTTGGTAGATACGTGCGCTATATGAGAATCCGATATTATTATTAGATGATCAAGCATTTTTCAGTCCAACCATTGAAACCCGCCTTGAAATCTTCATGTGGGTTGCATAGAACAACCGCAGCGCCAATACCTTAGAAGTTTTCATTATATCCCTGTCTTTGTCTCTGTTTAACCCTAACAGTCCTGAATCCTCAAAGTTTAATACGATTTTGCACACCCCCTAGGGAGTTGGGGATAGTCCACGGAGTTCTATCTTGCTGCTAGCAGTCTTACCTCTGTGACATCCTACTATCGCTTCTTCCAAGACCTGATCCACCATCTCTAGGACCGAGGGTGGATGGGGTTACACCCCTCGGGGGACTGCTCCTAGATGACGACCATAACCTGCTGCTGGAAGGCTGGAAAAATCAGAAAATAGAGAAAAGGAAAAAGGCTTTAGAGTAACTACGTATACAGACCAGCCCCTGATTTCACGAAGCGCTGCAACGCGTCGCAACTCGTAACACGTAGCAACTTGCAATGCATCGCATGATCCATTTCACAAAACTGACGATGTGTTTTGAACGCGTCGTTAGTTCCTTCACAACGGCTTAAAACACGTTGCAAGTTACGACGTGTCTAGTGGTCATCGCACAATAAGAAGCATCCTTTTCTTAGCCAGTTTTATGCCATGAAATTACATTAACGAGACTATAATACCGAGACAATGTTTGTAAAGTTGTAAATGGAAACTGCATCAAACTAAATATGAATTAGCCTGGAATATTCCAGTTGAAATTTCAAAGTACATACACATGTACATGTAGCTACATGTGTACAGTCCACCGCGTGCTTGTTTTCTTGACAAAGGTTTATGAAAATTCATGCAGTTTGAAAAGTTGCAAATTTAAAGCTTATGCGAGGAGAAAGTGCTTAGCACAAACACACACGCCCGTAACTGGCCCCTAATGACTGCACAGTGCCGTAACAAAGCGTGAGTAATTCAATTTCGCGTGCTCCCGTGCATGCAAGCACTGTGCGATCAATATTCCCTGCCGTTCGTTTCGGGCAGTGTAAAATTGTCACGCTGCATAGCAAGTTTCACTTGCTTACTTTTTAAATTCTCAACTTTTCAAACTGCATCAGTTTTCATAAACTGTTGTAAATATTGGACGATTGAGTCTTTGGTAGCAAACGGGGTATAAAAATGTAGCTAACAACATTCTCCAAAGGTCTATATAAATGACGTTATTATAAGACGATCAGACTCAAAATTATGACCCCTCCAATGAGTGCGGTCTTTTTTTGCGGTGTTTAGTATGACCGATTGAATTACTGCATGTGGTGCAGAAAGGGTGAAATCTTACCGACACAGACGGACCCATTTCGCCCATCAGGTATCCTGGCAGGAACAGGTTGCTATGGGAACCAGGTACTTGATGACTTGATCCCATAGAGGTCGGTGACCCAAGGGTCATGGGTTCCAGGCTGCTGGCGTGGCCGTAGCTTTGGGACATGGAGTGGCTTAAGCTTGGACCTTGGGAAAAAAGCGGCATTACAAATGTGTCACATTTGGACCCCATATTAATTAAAAGAAAATACCCGGAAAAAATATTGCAACCTGATGCCACTTTTTCTTCATGTATCATCTCAATGAAGGTCAGTCATTGCAAAAATGATGATCTGATGATATTGATAAGACATGAATCTGGGACTGAGAAACATTTCCAAATTTCCTACTTAAAAAGTTTTCTTGACTCTCCATAGACTTTGTACACAACCGCTTAAGTTGCAACATTTTTTTCCCAAATACCCTAGTACTACCGGAACATGTACCGGTATACTTCATTTTTCAATAAATTAATAATATAGGGGACCTTAGAGAATAATTGGAAAGAAAGTATCCAGATGACAAGGTCTATGGAGAGTCAAGAAAGTATTTCTTCAGTTTTCTTCACAAAAGTAGAAATGTTTCTCAGCTCAGTCCCAGAATGTCTTGTCAACATTTTTGCAATGACTGACCTTTATTCAATGGCATTGGGTTGAATTTTTCGCAGGATGTACAATTCGCAGTGGGTATTGTTACGGCAGTAGACTGACTCATTGAGTGATGTCTATGTATATAAAGACTGGATAGCGGATAAAGAGCAGCACAATGAATGAATTTGACGCCATATTGGTGAGACCGGTGAGACTGGCTGGTGATCTACAAAGGACAAGCTGCCGTCTTTATAGACAGCATGATTTCTTTTGTAACATCACGGTTCACTTGACTTATATTTTGACGACCACCACAAGTTACCAAGGTTTACAATTTTTCTAACGTCGTGGTTTACTTTTTTAATGCCGCAGTTCACTTTTACGGCGTTATGGAAATAATAATCACAACCATGACAACGGAAATGTGTCCTTTTTAGAGCATCATAATATGTGTACGTGACCAAAACATTTGATACGGACATCTGATAGGCATCATAGGCGCATTATATGCGGCCACCTTCGTGGGGGCGAATTGGTCAATCTGCAAAGTCTACTGTGTGAATGGTGTATGTATGGATATCCGCTATCCAGTCTTTGGAGTAATTGCAGAATACCCCGCCACTCGGAAATACACCCCTAAATTCTCTGGCTACGAGGTTGGAATCACTGGAAAAGAAACAATTCAAGTCCATGCCAGCTACACGGCTACTGAGTGGGGGTCCATTATTTGAGAACGAAGCAACACAACTGTTTCATGCACAATCGGTTGCGGTTCCAGTACCAAAGCTGTGATGCGAGGGGTAAACCTTATATTAGTGCATGAAACAGTCATCGGGTGTTACGCTTCCGCGTGACGTCATGCGCCAACAGCCAGCGCAGCCGGCAAAAACGAGTAGTTGACAGCGATCGCTCTCTGTGCCTGTTATTCGACCGCCATTCATTGTACACATTTTTTTTTGTGCACAAACCAATTGCAGTCCTGGCCATGCCTGAAAGGTTGTCAGGTTAGCGGTTATTCCTCCTGTTTTCACTGCAATTGTAGGCTGAATCTTCATCGTGGATTGTTTTTTACTTCAAGGACCTGTGTAATGGTTATTCCAGGCAAGTTTGGGGTGAGTTGCAGTTGCAATTAGTGTGTAACGGGGACAAAATTGAACATTTTCCAAATTTTTTTGCCTATACTACAAGTTACGAGAAAAACTCGCTCCAGCCCTAGATGACAACCCAATGATAAAACTCAGGGCTGGGTAACTCCAGCTAGTTGGCGGCAACGCGGATACGGAGTGGGACTAGTCCCCTTGAATATGCTTGAGAACGAAGCAACACAAAAGGAATGGGAGTTGCTGAAAAAATTCTAAGTCCAAACCAACTACCCTGTTGGCGGCTACGCGGTTACGAAGTGGGAGTGCAATGGAGCGTGATGCATAGTACATACAACATGTACAAGTATTGAAGTAGCGCTGAGAATGTCTATTGAGGTCAACTCAACGCAGCCGGCTACGAGGTGGACATGGTGGATAGATCGAGTGGCGGGGTATTCTGCAATTGTGCCCCAGTGTTTAATTTATAATTTTAAACTTAAAGTGGTTGTACTTGCACCATTGTCGGGTTCCCTGATGACCAATTAGGCCCTAGTATATTCAACGTTGACAATCAATGACATCTAATCTTAGATTCTTATGCGCCTAAAAATCGAAGATGTCGACGTTGAATACTATTTGGTCAGGGATCCAGAGAGTCTACTGCCATAACAATAGCCACTGCGAAAAATTCAACAGAATGCCATTGCCAATAGGCAATGTACTTATGTAGCGATGATATTGCACATAGCTGCAACGTCTATTTCCGACACCATTAGTCATTGTTAGCATGTTTGTAACATTCGGAACGAATTAGGCCTATGGCCTAGAACTAGAAGTGCATATTTTGACTTCAATCAAAGTAATCACTCCAGTAGAGTACTCACTGTGGTATTCCATTCTGGCGTGTCTTCAATATTGCAATTAATTTACTCGTTAAGAAACACAATAACCTCTTGCGATTTCAACCTCCTATTGAAGGTTTTGAACATCAAATGGCGGACGGCGCGGCGGCTTGAAAAACAAGTCAAGAGAGGGCGCTATGTAACGGTAACGGTGCCTTTTTTTCCAAAAGGCCGGAGTGGGTGGGGGTAGTCGGGGGGGGGGCGGTGTTGGATAACTACATTTATTTTGCAAACGTCTAACGGGATGTGATAAACGATAATTTCAAAACAATTGTATGATTTTTAACGCCTATCGGTTATTTCAAGGCGTCTGGATTTTATACGATAAGTCTCGCCAAAATTTACTCTCTTGCGTCCTGTACTGTACTCTAGCTTGAAACTGAAATGTCTATTTTGCTTAATGTGGAGGAATAAATATAACAGTGGCATGGGTATAGCCCTTTGAAAGAAAGGGTTTTTGTTTTATTTTGCGCCTCTTTCGCACAAATTACCTGAATAACATTTGGGGGAGGGGGGGGGGGGATGTACACTTTAGGAAGGTACGTCTTTTGTTCTGGGGGAATTCAAATAAATTTTCCTCTATTCACCAAATTTTTAACAGGGGGGGGGGGGGGGGGGAAGGGGGACACAACATAAGACCACCTGTTTCCATGCATCATATCCTTCCAAAAGGTTTGAATTACAATCCTATGAATATTCAAGATAAAACATAAATAATTTGTATACCCTCATCTAAAAAAAGTGTCCCTAGCCCTACATCTTAAAATATTAATCGTGACTAAAATGTATTGTTTTGGGGTCTAAAATATTTTTTTGGGGGGCCGGGGGGGGGGGGGGTTAGTGGGGTACGACGTTTACCAAAACATAGGCCATTATTCAACAAAATTACATCTACACTTGCCATGAAAATATGTAGTCTAAACAATATGTAGTCCGAATTAAACACTAGTATGACTTAAAATTGATACCCTACCCCCGCCCCCCAAAAGGTCAGGATCGGATCGTCATCCGATCCTCTCCTAGCGAAATATGAAGTGCATGAGGAGGAATTATTTAAGTAGTTTAAGAGGAATACTGAAATAACAAATTAAGAATTGACTTTCCCAGTACCCGTACCCCTTAATCCCCGCCTACAGAATAATAATTTATTTCAATTAATTAGGGAAACTACATGTCTCGTCAGCGCGCCATCCCAGTTCATTATGCGCGCAATGAGTCATTCGATGGCGCAGCACTTGTGTAAAACTGCCGGTAGTGCACAGGGTGACCGTTTCAGCCGATTTTCGGCCAACTTTGACAGAATTTTTGTAAAAAAAACGAGTTTGACCGAAAATTTGACAGAATGAATTTTTTTGGCCGATTTCTGGCAGAATTCATCTGCAAAAATGGTTATTTGACGGAAAAACTGCAAATTTGAACAAAAAAGTGTACATTTAGTTCAAAAAGCTTCAATCCTTTTTTCAGACAAACCCTTGCATAATGGGACAGGTTGGCTCAACTTGGCTGGTCTAGGTGCTGAGGTTCACTGGGAAACAGACTTTGTTGGTCGGATCCACGTTTTGCCCGAAATTTACCAATAATTTCACAACATCTTTATGCGACTAGATTGTTTATTATGTAATTTGAATCTTAATTAAGGCAATATTACCAATCTGCATGTGATTTTAAGTGTTTATAGTCATGTATTTCGAGTAATTCTGGGGAATTTGGCAGATTTTTGATAAATCTGACAGATTTTTGATGCGCATTTAGCAGAATTTGGCTCTGACCTTACGGTCACCCTGGTAGTGCAGGGTGCTGTCAAAATACAAACGTGTTTGCAGTGCACGTGTTGTTAAATATTCCCACGTCTTTTTCAAAGAAACTGAACTGAAGTACGGACATTTTACGGAAGTTTTACCAGTTTGCTCAACCTCAATCAGACCAAAGCACCGCTTCAGAAACTAGGGTAAGAACACATTTCTTATTTGATCAGTGTGGTTGTTTGCGATTGACAATTTTTGCGGGTAAAATTCGGCGAGACGTGTCACGGGTTTTTCAACCACCGACTCCGAGACGTCGAGATCCACTGACCGTGATTCCTAGAACTTAGAAGGACTACCCGGGGTTTCTCGGGGTCAAGGCGGTGGCTATTGTCCCGTGGTGTGTCCTTGGACCGGAGTTCAACAGATGATCGGACTTAGTTAGAGCACGAAGATTTCTGGAATATGGTCTTTTGTTTGCAAAATATGTGGACACAATGTTGAGCTTTTGAGCGGTTTCAGGGATGACGTTTGAATAACCAGGGGAAGATTTTATCCATGAAAGGACAGAAATCACTGCTTGTTTTGTTGCAAAGATTGACTTAAAATTCATTGACGGATCCCAGGCGCTGTGTAGTATACAGTCTTGAAGTTCATTGGGCATTTCCTAATATCTGCAGCAACGCAAGTATTCAGGTAAGAATTTAAATACTGATTTGCATTTTTGTTTGCTTTCTAAATTCTTTGGAAAAAAATGTTGCAACCTGACGCCACTTCCACGGTTGTGTACAAAGCCTATGGAGAGTCGGGTCAAGAATTTTTTTAAAGTATTTTCTAACAAAATTGGAAATGTTTCTCAGTCCCAGATTCATGTCTTATCATCATTTTTGCAATGACTTTCATTGAGATGATATATAAGAAAAACGTGGCGTCAGGTTGCAACATTTTTTTCAATTCTTTTGTGATTTTATTTTAATTGGCTGTACATGTAAATATGCTTTTAGAATTTGGGGATTGTGCTGACAATATATTTTAGTGATGGGAAAAAAAATCAATATTTTTTTTTAATTTTTAATAAAATTTTCTGTGCAGACATGTAGTACTTATCAACTAGTAGTATGAGATACATGGAACATCCATTCCTTTTAAACTTGTGTTAATGTTTCATGTTTGTAGAAAAAATGTTGATGATTTGTACATCGATTTGAAGGTGGATTTTAATAGACAGAAGACAGAGCTTAGATGCTTAATGTATTTTGTCCCTCCGATTGCATGCAAAATTCAGTGCAACGAACCTCGCAGGCTCACACTGTGTCATTCCCTCCCAGTTTTGAAAGTCATGGAAGTTAGTGCAATAAGACATTTATAATATTGCAGTTCTTTGTGCAGGCAGAGCTACATGTATTGTGTTCTCATAGACTTGCATGTGGACAAACTGGGTTTTGATCATCTTTCTTTAGACCATCGCCATTTCTTAATCTAGGCTTTCTTTTCAGTGCCGTTTTCACCATAAACCATGAGGTTGCTGTACTTTTAAAGAATATATCTTAAAAAGCAATTTTAACATACATGTACATGTGTCTCCCCAATTCCGAGAAATCTGCATATAATGTGGGCCACTCTGTACATTGACAAATGTGTAAGCAATGGTATGCTTCACAAGTAAAATTTGCTGCATGGGAGGAAAACTGACAGAGGCAAGATTACCATATGCGAGGTTCACTAATTTTCCTCTGTATTGACTAACAAGCCCCCAGATAGCAATTTCATGCCATCAAAGTCAATTTGAGCAGTGAGAAAATACAAGCATTTCCTTAAAAAACACTTAGAATTTTTCAGTCCACTCTCATAGGGTTTGTACACAGGGTGTTGAGTGAACTTCGTGTATGGAAATCTTTCCCTGACGGATATTTGACAGCAAATCAACATTGCAAACCAGAACTACATGTACTTCCATATCCTGAAAATCACACCATATAGGCCTACATTGCATCAGACGGGAAGGATGCAAAAGTACAGTGTGGTACAACTCGACCCATAATTGTCAGGAAGGATACATTAACATGCCTATTTTGTCTAGTCTAGCACTCTTTGGCATTGTGTTACGGTGAAATGTAATGAATTCCATTTGAAACAACTGTGTGTAAAATTTTGTTTGAGTCAAACTTTGGAACAACATTAAATTCTTTTTGGGGGGGGGGGGGGGAGGGGGGGGGACCTGGTACGTTACCCCCTCCCCTTAAAAAGAAATAAGCCGACATTGTACATAAAAGTGCAGTTGGGGGGGGGGGGGGATAAACAAAACATTCCAAAAGATCCTCATTCAATGAAACAGAAAGCTTGCAGTCAGTACAGTTTACATCCGTGTATTCTATTTTTGATTTTTTGGTGGAGGGCAGTAACCCAGAACCCCCCCCCCCACCCCCACCCACACCCACCCTCCCCCACCCTCCCCCACCCTCCCCCACCCTCCCCCACCTCTAAAAAAAACCCCCAAAACTTCTTGGTTATCCTCCCCTTTTATAGCACTCGGTCTTCAGGACCTCTGTAGTCATGATGTAGGCCTATTGTTTAAAGGGAAAATACAACATTTGCAAACATCAAAAAATAAAACTACCAAGTTTTTACGAAATACATTGCAGGATGTTGGTAAATTTCAGTCTAAAGCAAAGCATCCTGTAAAATTATGCCACCTGATGTGAAGTAATTATCAAGAAAATGATATTTTTGTATAAATTTCCAACGGTGCGTTGGAAAAACCTAACTATTTTTTAACTACTGCTCCAAATTTACCTTTTTTTCAGTCAAAATTTTGTGTGCTATGGGTTGCATGTTCATGAATGGGTGCAGGTCATCTAGACTGGTTCCCTTACCGTACAATTTTCCGGCATCTATAAATTGATCCATTTCATTTTCAGTGGAGTTAGGGAACCAGACTACTTGAAAATTTTTGTTTTTCTTGGTTTTTCCAACATTTTCGAACACAAAACTTCAAACATGTCAGTGTAACAATAATTTGATCTATTATACTAACCCCTCAAATAGTTCATTTCTGAAAATTACAACAATTGCCAATGATGTACATTCCCTTTAAAAAGAAATCTAGCCAACATTGTACATAAAAATGCAGTTGGGGGGGGGGGGATTAACAAAACATTCCAGAAGATCCTCATTCAATGAAATAGAAAGCTTGCAGTCAGTACAATTTACATCCGTGTATTCTATTTTTGATTTTTGGGGGGAAGGCAGGACGTAGCCAAATATGTACATTCCCTTTAATAGGCATATTGACAATTGGTGACACGTTACAATCAAAATATCTGATCTGAAGAATTCAAAGACTTCCGCCTTCGAGTAAGCA